ATTACGATAAAGAGTGGAAAATGCCTCCTTTTATGTGGGTAGTTGAATTTCTAATTAAACATTTTCTCAAGAAGTAAAATTCAGACCTGCCCCAAGCACTTTATATGTACCAAAGATCACGATGAATTGACTTATGTGACAAATTTTTCTTAATAATGTTGTTTTGCACTTGTGCCGATGCCATTTTTGTGCAACATTTAGGAATTTATAAGTGTCCGTCACGTGATCAAAAAAGTCATGTGACATCACAAAAATGCATTATTATAATACCTGATTACACTGTCATCACAAGTTGACTGCAAATTCATACATAGATTACAAATTGAAATTAAAGTCTAGCTCAAAATAAAATGTAAATGTTAATGCATATTAAGCCTTCGGACAGCCTTAACATAGCTGCGTTAATACACACTTAATAAGAAACAGTAGAATCACTATAAGGTCTTCCGTGAAGACGGAAGACCTTAATAATAATAAGAAACAGTAGAATCACTATATGTCTTCCGTTGAAAACGGAAGACCTAATAAGAAACAGTAGAATCACTATAAGGTCTTCCGTGAAGATGGAAGACCTTAATAACTAGATGCTTGTTGCGAGCAACGTGAGGTCTTCCGTCCGAATAACCATCCTTATATGTGATAATCTATGCATGTAAAATTAAATTTATATGTGCTCTTTACTACACCTTAAAATATAACATGAATCTTTAAAAAAAATACTAGGAATCTAAAGATTTTTGATTTATAAACATGAAAATAGCGCAGAATTCAAACAGAGAGAAAAAACGCCAATTTATAAAGAAAAACGCAAATTAAAGCTAAAATGAGAAAAAAATTCGGACATCGTCGGAATTAAACTCAGATTGCCTGCGTGAAAATTATGGAAACCACAACACCAGCGCAATACACCAGCCATCATTGATGTTTACTTTGCACTCATTGTCTGACGTAACGAGTGTCAGACAGGTTAAAAATTTTCGTTTCATAGTACGGAATTATAGGATAAAAGCTACCTAGCCAAATCTTGTGCAAGCAGATTCACATCTAAAGAAGAAAGTACGTTATGTACCAAAATCGACCCTGTCCCCAAATCTGAGGAAGATTTTTTTTAAACATGTCTAAGATGTCCTCTTTTTAATTCAGCTTTATTTTTGCAATTAGCTCAAATCAATTTTCCTACAAAGCTATCTGAATATAGATAGTTTCTTTGGAAAATAACACTAGATGACGTTATGACGTCAACCTAGCGACGCTACGCAAATACGAGAGTTGTTGGAAAGTTCGTTATATTACTTTCAAGAAATATTAAAAAAGTACACATTTTCTTATATAAAAACATTTATTTTGTTTAAGTGTGAAGTTTCATTCCATTCGATTTAACAGAAATCAATTTACTTAATTTAAAAATCAACATGTTTGGTAACTCCGGAGCTACATTATAACGTCAAAAAACATTGCTTCATGGTGTTTTTAAAATAAAAAAAAATCGCCCTTTACATTTCACACAGTTTGATCCAATAGCCACTAATTAAAACCGTTTCTCAATTTTCATTTATTTTGCTAAAAATTGTACCAGTAGCATAATTTTGTTTGTCCATGTTTTATTATTTTTTTTTTTTAATTTTACCACGTAACTGTGCATTTACAAGATCAGCAACTGTAAAGCGCCTTTCTCTTTCCATGACTTTACCAACTCAATTTTTATGTTCATATTTTTACACATAATTTACTTTCTCACAGACCGCCCTTGTCTGATACAGAGTTTTAATCATTCGAACAGAGCCTCTATCATTTATACACATATGCACAAATCACTTTTGACATTTGTTCCTATACAATATTTTTAGAGTTTATTCTGAAGATTTCCAGAGTACAACTCAAAATTTTGTGATACCTTTCAAAATTGGTTTCTATATAGAGCTATACACATTTCCAGTGTTGTACTGAGGGGTCATAAAAAAAATCGATGTATTGTCGCTGAGTAGGATATTTGACCTGTCGATGAGAAATTGGACCGCTTAGGTCAAAATTGTGGGCGGGATCGGCTAAATCTCATTTGCATTCGTTGGTGTTCGACAGTGACGAAATTGACCAAGTTTAATCCCAGTGTGGTTTAAGTAAATTTTACATCATGGAAGCCAGCACAAGATACAAAGGTATTAACAAAACATTTATTGATGATGTTCTTGGGCAGAATGCGTTTTGTCGACCCATCGATCGGTTAAATAATGGTCTCAGAAAAAGTTTGGTTTTTGGGTCTGACAATATACGTATAATGAAAGATTAATTTATGTGATTTAGAACAAAATAGAGAGAGGGATGGAGGGAGAGAGAGAGAGAGAGATGCGTAACGCATATTGAATAGTGCGTTTATTATAAGTATCCGATTATTCTAATTCAAGCAAGATTTTGACTTTTAAAAACTAGACAATATTTTTTTTATGCGAATTACTGGGTTTGTTTTTAAGATTGCATTAAAACTTTTAACACTGTTTTATAGAATGTCAGATTCCCTATCAAATTTTATGAGAAAGCATTAAAAATATTTTCGAAAAGTATTTGTTAATAGATAACATTGAAAGGGCAAATTCCCCAGTCAATCCCGGCGTCATTCACGAATTTATCTAATCAAAATGTGTTTAAAACTTTTCTGTCTTGTCATCTGAAAAAGTTTCCAAAAAAAAAAAACCCTGAAAAAAGTACTCATTCGATTAATAATTTTATAGGTCACTGGATGGTCCTTCTAAAATGCACGAATTAAGTATCACCCCCCCCCCCCTCTTTACAAGCTGCTATGGATGCAGCACTTCTCTTGGATAGTTGGCATAGGCAACTTTCTATCGCATTTTCTTTAGCAACTTATTGAGGCTTTTTCACCAACTTAGTATAGCTTTTCCAAAAATAAATAAATAAATAAATAAATAAAATAAAATAAAAATAAAAATAAATAAATAAATAAATAAAAATAAACATGCATAAACATTTACTTTCTTTGAAGAACACTTTTACGATCTTTTTTTTAAATACGTACATACAATTATAGATAAATGCTGTTGCATGAAGTTTCGACTTTGTTGCTTGAAGTTTCGCTCAATATGAGAGCCTATCTTAAAGTAAGTATTGTAAGCATTCGATACCAAATCTATGGAGAGAAAGATCATAGGCATTTATGCCTGCTTTTCAATTCATTTCAGGCAGAGCGCTCGCTCCGTGATCGGAAGGTCGCTCGTGTGTTCGAATCACGGCCGCGACCGACCTAAGTCGATAAAAAATAGGTAGCAACTGTTCCTTTGTCAAGCGCTCGGCACTTTGAAGTGACAAGTTGCGGGTCTTTCGGATGAGACCTTAAAACCCGAGGCTTCGTGTCACGGTAGGTTCAAACTTTTTTTCACAATTTTTTTTCACTACCAATTTTCCCCCAATACACTAAATTCCTAAATTTTACCAATGCTACAGCAAAAAGAGGGGGAGGGGGGCTTTCAATGAACATTTTCAAAGTTGGGAAAAAAGTGGGAAGGGGCCCTGCTCCCCTGATTCTTCGTGATAAATAACTTGTTTTCAGACACAGATAATTTTGTTCCTCAGTATACTTATATTAAATTGTGTGATACACATACACCGCCGTAATGGGGTGTGTCACAATCAAAATTTAATCCCGATTATTGTTTTATTTATGTTTATGATTTTTTTTTATTTTTCCTTTACGGGACCTCTTTATTCTGTTACCTGTAATGAACCTCAAATTTAGAAATTGCAGGCATTGGTCAGTTACAGCCTATTGTATTTAGAGTATTTAAATCGCTGCATTGCTGACCAGGTAGCCGGGGTCCACGTTTTCATACTTTTTACATGCTTGACGTACAATCCAAGATGTGTAGATAGGTAGTTTTTACAACGGTAACCATTTCTCCATGAGGGGTAAGTTAAATTTTCTTATTATTTAGTGTTTTGATATTGCATTAAGATTTGTTAACTTTGTAAGAAAACGGGTTAAGTAATGTTTTTGTTACTGTTTACGTATACAAGTTTTGCTGAGTAGAGTTACTCATGCGTGTAATGTTCTGGTTTTGTGCATGTACTAAGTTATGTACGCACGCAATGTATTTTGGTTTTTTTTTTGCCGCTTATACAGTCGGTGTCGTGGGTTTAGTTGTTAAAACCACTTGTGTTAAGAAATTGTGTATTCTTAACGCTGTCTACATATATAACAGTGTTTGGTTAGATTTACTGTTTGTACGGTGTGCCATTTGTGCAATGATAGTCAATGGTGACTAGTTTTTTTTTAAAGGTATACGTAACCTGTGACTTAAAAATGTTATTTAATTTAAAGGTTCCTGATAAAATCCTGATAATATCTAGTCATGTGTGTGTTGGCAATGACGTTCAACAGACCGGAGACCCACTGGGAGCCTGTTGGCGGGAGTCCGTCGTGAAACGGGCGTGTCTGGACGTATGCGTGGTTGTGAGCAAACACCAGGATGACGTGGATTGAAAAAGACTTTTAAGATATACATATTGTAAATTATAAATGTATAAATATGGTGTAAATATTGTTAATACTGATTTTATTTTTATATAAAAAAAAATGTAAATAGAAAAAAAAAATCTTGTTGTGTCTGACTGAACAGAACACGACGGCTGTCGTGACAAATTGGTGTCAGAAGTGGGATAAATCTGTTCAGTCAGCAGTATATTTGTATATGGCAAGTTTGTTATTTTGTTTAATCATTTTGTTGTTTTTGCAGTCAAAAGATTTTGTGGGTTTTTTTTTTTTTTTGACAACTTCGGAGTGTTAGTGCTTGGTTTATGGATGGAGCCCCGAATGGAGAAAGCTAGGTTACCGTTGCTTTGTATGAATTGAGTTTGTATACCAAATATTTTTTGTTTAAAAGTATACATTTTTGTGAGAGATTTTTGACATTTTGTTTGGGAAATCAATGTTGTTTTACTGGGTTGAAGCAATATTTTTCATATTTAATCATTTAGTATTTACTATTATGATGGAGTCTTTAAGAGAGATAACAGAATATGGTCAAAGCCTTAACTTGACTGGTGCGGACCTACAGCAGTTTATACAGCAACAACAGGTACACCAGCGTGAGCTACGAGCTGCTGAGAGAGAGAAAGAGAAGCAGGATAGAGAGTATGTTCTAAGTAAAGAAGCGCTTGAGATTGAGAAACTCAAACTCCAGGAGAAAAAAGGTATGGAAGAGATTGAAAGTAAACTCATGCATACTATTCAAACATTGGAGCAAAAGTTAGCTGTAAAAGAGTTAGAAATGAAATCAGAAAACTCTAGCAATGCAAAGTTTCCAAACATGCCTGTCTTCGATGAAGTTAAGGATGATATTGATTCTTATTTGAGACGTTTTGAAAGGTATGCTGCAGCACAGAAATGGAAGTTAGACAGTTGGGCTGTTAACTTGAGCGCACTGCTCAGAGGTCGTGCACTGGATGTGTATGCACTGCTGCCACAGGAGAAAGCTTTGGACTATGATGCTTTGAAGACGGCGTTATTAAAGAGGTTTGAAAAGACGGAGGATGGGTTTCGTCAAAAGTTCCGTAAGAGTAGACCTGAGGTAGGGGAAACTTTCTCACAGTTTGTTGTTCGTCTCGATAGGAGGATTGAGCTTGGTCGAGTAGACAAGACTTTTGAGGGCCTCTACGATATGTTTCTTAGAGACCAGTTTTTGTTTCTGTGTAACAAAGAATTAACATTATTTTTAAAAGAACGTATACCGAAAAACATCAAAGAAATGTGTGCCTTAGCCGATCAGTATAGAGAGGCAAGACATGTAAATATTCAAACACTAGTTCATTATAGCAAGAAGGAGAATACCCCAGAAAAACGTCAGGCATCGAGAGAACAAGACCAACGGGAGCAGAAACAAGGATGGAAGACTCAACCTATGAAGACGCCAATGAAGAAAGATGTTCGTTGCTTCAAGTGTGACAGACTGGGCCACATAGCGTCTCAGTGCCATCAGACCCAAAAGAACCGGAACTCAGTGAATGCAGTCGTTGATCGAACAGAGGAGGAATCTATGGTGAAGAACTCGGAATTACAAGGCAAGTGTGGATCATTTACTTCCTTTACAAGCACATCTACATTTTCAATGGCATCAAATTCTATGGACCTTGTAAACACTTCATCATGTAACGTTAGTGCATCTCTTGGAGATATGCCTTCCTGTAATGGCAAATTAAATGAACATTTTGTGACAGTGCTTAGGGACACTGGTTGTAACGGCGTTGTAGTTCGCAGGAATTTGATAGATGATGTTCAGCTTACAGGAAATCATCGAATTTGCATTCTGGCGGATGGATCTAGAATTCAAGCACCTGTTGCGCGAGTGAAAGTAGACACTCCATACTTTGTGGGAGAAATAGACGCTTGGTGTTTAGAAAATCCATTGTATTCCCTGATCATCGGAAACATCCCGAACGCAAGAGATCCAAAGGATCCAGATAAAGACTGGACACCTAATCAAGCTCATGCAGTTGTGACTAGGCAACAAGCTCAAAAGGAAGGTAAGAGAACTAAATCTCTTTGTGTTCCAGAAATAATTGACGCTGATATCTGTCCCGACGACATCAAGGCAGCACAGGAGAAAGACGAGACGTTAAACAAGATAGGTTCTTTGGTGGGCCAAGACGACGACTCCAAGGTAACCTTCATCAGTAAGAAAGGTATCATTTATCGTGTTTTCCAGTCAGATAAATATCAGAATGGTAAACGATTTACACAGTTGGTTGTACCAAAGAAATTTAGGACTAAAGTTCTTTCTCTCGCTCATGAGTCTATTATGACAGGTCACTTAGGTACTTCTAGAACAGCCAGCAAAGTTCTAGCAGAATTTTATTGGCCGGGAGTTCAAGCAGACGTACGTCGATTCTGCAGATCATGCGACATCTGTCAACGAACCACTCAGAAAGGCAGGACTACAAAGGTTCCACTCGGAGATATGCCTATCATTGAAGTACCATTCAGACGTGTAGCTGTAGACTTGGTAGGACCTATCCAACCAGCAACAAGTAAGGGTAATCGTTACATTTTGACTGTTGTTGACTTTGCTACCCGTTACCCGGAGGCAATTGCTCTTAAGGGAATTGACACTGAACGAGTCGCTGAGGCTCTAGTAGATGTATTTTGTAGAGTTGGGGTACCAAAGGAAATGCTCACGGATATAGGGACACAATTTACATCCGAGCTGATGACAGAGGTCAGTCGTTTACTTTCTATACGACAGTTAACAACGACGCCATATCACCCCATGTGCAATGGACTAGTAGAGCGGTTTAATGGTACGTTAAAGCAGATACTACGACGGTTATGTTCGGAATGTCCAACGGATTGGGATAAGTACCTATCAGCATCGTTGTTCGCATACCGTGATGCTCCTCAGGAGAGTCTAGGATTCTCACCGTTTGAGTTGGTTTACGGACATGAAGTTAGAGGACCTATGAAGATCTTGAGAGAGTTGTGGACTAAAGAAGTAGTAGATTCAGAAGTGAGAACTACATACCAGTATGTTGTAGATTTGAAGGAGCGACTTGAAGATACTTGCAGAATTGCGAGAGAGAATCTACAGAAGTCGTCAAAGAAATACCGGAAGTATTACAACAAGGGAGCAAAGAACAGACAAATGTCAAAAGGTGAGAAAGTTCTTATTCTTTTGTCAACTGCCAGTAACAAATTACAAATGCAATGGAAAGGGCCATATGAAATTATAGAAAAAGTAGGAAAAGTCGATTACAGAATAAACGTGAATGGAAAATTTAAAACATTTCATGCAAACATGTTGAAGTTGTACATTGACAGAGAAAGCGACAAAAATGACGAAACAGGTGTTCTAGGTATTGCAGGTGCAGCTGTTCTTGATCTAGATGATGATGGAGAAAGTGATGATGAGATGTTGTGCGATTCCCCAGGTGAAACGAGAAAGGAGGGACCAACAGATGTGAAAGTAAGTGATGAACTAACTGAAAATGAGAAAGCAGACATCAAGGCATTACTAGACGATTTTTCAGATGTTTTAACAGATGTACCTGGTTTGACGAATCTCGGTGTTCACCATATCAAGCTGACTAATGACCAGCCTATCCGCACCAAGCCATATCCTCTGCCGTTTATTTCAAGAGACGTTGTTTGTGACGAGGTAAAGAAGATGTTGGAAGTTGGCGTGATCGAGCCATCGACAAGTCCATACAGTTCCCCGATAGTCATCGTAAAGAAGAAAGACGGTTCGAACAGGTTTTGTATCGATTTTCGTGCAAGTAATAAAGTATTTTCGATGCAGAAACTATTCCTAATGCTGATGATATCTATGTGCAACTCTCTGGCTGTAAATATGTGTCCAAATTTGATTTATCTAAAGGATACTGGCAGCTACCATTGGATGAGGCAGCGAAGGAGATCACCGCTTTCCAAACTCCACTTGGTTTGTTTCAGTTCAGGGTGATGCCCTTTGGCTTTATAAACGCTTCCGCAAGTTTCAGTCGGCTGATGCGAAGACTCTTAGATGGAATGCAGTGTGTGGATAACTTTATTGATGATGTGATTGTATATACTCGTACTTTCTAGGAACACATCAATGTGATTCAGAATCTTCTACAAAGACTTCGTGCAGCAAATGTGACTGCAAAACCAAGCAAGTGTTTCATTGGTTACCGAAGCCTTGAGTGCCTTGGACATATTGCGGGCAACGAAGAACTTAGACCTCTTCCCGACAAAGTTTCCGCTATCCACAACTTTTCCCAGCCTTTAACAAAAAAGCAAGTACGCTCATTTTTAGGTCTGGTAGGATTCTATCGCAAATTCATTCCGAATTTTTCAGCTGTTGCTTCACCTTTGACAGATCTTACCAAAAAAGGCCAGCCAAACAAAGTGACATGGGGACCACCCCAAGAGAATGCGTTCATCACTCTCAAGACTGCTTTAACGGTAACACCTGTACTTAAATTACCTGTTTTGAATGAAACTTTTGTTTTACAGACAGATGCGTCAGATCGAGGTGTTGGGGCAGTTTTGATCCAGTACGAGAATGGTATGAAAAAACCTGTCGCATACGCTAGCAAGAAACTCTCCAAATGTCAGGTAAATTACTCAACAATTGAAAAGGAATGCTATGCAATAATCTGGGCAGTTCAAAAATTTCGTAGATATTTGTATGGAAAGGAATTTCTACTAGAAACAGACCATCAACCACTGGTTTATCTTACCAAAGCCAAAGTATCAAATGCACGAGTGATGCGATGGGCATTATTACTGCAACCATACAGGTTTCGCATTATTTCTATCAAGGGATCAGAAAACGTAGGAGCTGATTGTCTTAGCAGAATGTAGTTATGTTGTATATAATGTATAGATGATTTTATGCCATATTGATTGTGTTTTTTTCAAAAGTTCATTGAACTTTCTTTTGTTTGGGAGATATGTCACAATCAAAATTTAATCCCGATTATTGTTTTATTTATGTTTATGATTTTTTTTTTATTTTTCCTTTACGGGACCTCTTTATTCTGTTACCTGTAATGAACCTCAAATTTAGAAATTGCAGGCATTGGTCAGTTACAGCCTATTGTATTTAGAGTATTTAAATCGCTGCATTGCTGACCAGGTAGCCGGGGTCCACGTTTTCATACTTTTTACATGCTTGACGTACAATCCAAGATGTGTAGATAGGTAGTTTTTACAACGGTAACCATTTCTCCATGAGGGGTAAGTTAAATTTTCTTATTATTTAGTGTTTTGATATTGCATTAAGATTTGTTAACTTTGTAAGAAAACGGGTTAAGTAATGTTTTTGTTACTGTTTACGTATACAAGTTTTGCTGAGTAGAGTTACTCATGCGTGTAATGTTCTGGTTTTGTGCATGTACTAAGTTATGTACGCACGCAATGTATTTTGGTTTTTTTTTGCCGCTTATACAGTCGGTGTCGTGGGTTTAGTTGTTAAAACCACTTGTGTTAAGAAATTGTGTATTCTTAACGCTGTCTACATATATAACAGTGTTTGGTTAGATTTACTGTTTGTACGGTGTGCCATTTGTGCAATGATAGTCAATGGTGACTAGTTTTTTTTTAAAGGTATACGTAACCTGTGACTTAAAAATGTTATTTAATTTAAAGGTTCCTGATAAAATCCTGATAATATCTAGTCATGTGTGTGTTGGCAATGACGTTCAACAGACCGGAGACCCACTGGGAGCCAGTTGGCGGGAGTCCGTCGTGAAACGGGCGTGTCTGGACGTATGCGTGGTTGTGAGCAAACACCAGGATGACGTGGATTGAAAGAGACTTTTAAGATATACATATTGTAAATTATAAATGTATAAATATGGTGTAAATATTGTTAATACTGATTTTATTTATATATAAAAAAAAAATGTAAATAGAAAAAAAAAAATCTTGTTGTGTCTGACTGAACAGAACACGACGGCTGTCGTGACAGGGTGAAAGAATTTAGTGACAAGTAATCTTGCTGAAAAGTGAACCCCTCATCCGATAAAGCTTTTTATTTATTTTTTTTTTCGTCCGAAATTCTTTATGGACCTTTCTGTCGCTTTCTCATTCCAGTCCTCTTTTAACTTCACTGGATGCTCGACAGATAAGAAATTACAACTCTGGTATATGTGGAATGATATTAAGTAGAATTTACGGGTAAAAAATAAATTTTACAAGGTGGAATATGTGCCTTTGTTTTTTTATATGCATAATATTATCGACAATGTCTACAATATAAACTTATGCAGATGCGACACGCTTATATTGTTCGTGGAATTATAAAATCTGAAAATATATTGAAACATCAACCGTACACTTGTATAAACGACTGAAAATACAAGACTTCAAAATATTAATTAATCTGATCAGTCCTGACCAACGGCATCCAAAAGATTGGGAATTTACCCCCCTTTCCAAAAAAAATGTGTTGCAAGGGGACCTATTGTGACGTCATCTTTGAGTTTATTGCGTAATATATTTACATACATGCAGACGTCAACTAGGCCGGTTCAGTAGCAAGATAAAATAAAGGCTAGGATTTAAGCATTTTCTTCTCTGCAATAATACTTTTAGTGATTTCATAAGTCAGGTGAACATTTTTATTTTATTGCTTTAATATATCAAATTGATCTCTTCCCTTCTTGCTGGCAACATTTATCAAGTGTAAGGCTTATTTGTATAAAATAATATCGCAATTTGTCATTTCTGTAAAACATTTTTTTTATTTTTAATGCCATTTTTATGACAAATATATTTGTATGAGCAATATAAATATGGTCAATCAATGAAAAAAAATTATTTTTTAACTTTATTACACGAAATACACCATCATTATCACTTCTAGATAAGAATTCGCCTCTCGACTCAGTATCCGCCACCGGAAATAGTCATGAAATGTCAAAATTAACATATTGCACATTCCTCGAGCAAATTCTTACCATTTTTTTTATTGCCTTTCATCAAATTATTTTCAAATATACATGTTTTATTTTGCTCGAGGGGTGTGCACTACTTCAATTTTGGGAATCTGTTGTAAAAATAGTGGGAAAACTAGCAATTTCCGGAAAGAACGGATGTTAAAATCCTGTGAATACCTCTAATCAACGTACTTGCGAAAGTTTGTTATGCATATATCAAAACTACCACTCTTCTTCTACATGTACATAGTAGTTATATTTTTGAAAACGTGTATATCAAAATACGAAAAATTGTGGGCATTCGAATAATACGTAATGTACTTAGTTCTTTGTTACTTGAGTTTTAATAAAAACTGTTAGCAGAAGAAATAATCTGTTACTCATGAAACCTATTGATTTGTTTACTTTCTTTATTCTTTATGCATTCATTTTTTTCAAATAAAGAATTTCCGTGTAATCCTTTTCTGTACTTCTATACTACTGCATCAGTCCATTTGTCTACTATGAAAGGCGGGACACGATACATTATTTCGCGCCAAACTTCACGAGTAGATCTTCGCGCCTTTTCTTCGGAATGTATGTTCTATTGAATGGGTATGATAGCTTCAATGAATTAAAAAAATTCTGTTCTTATAGCCTGATTTTCGAGCTTTAAAATGTATATTAATCACATTGTACGTATAACATATCTGGCAAAAAAACACTAAAGCAGTGAACCGCTAAGTTTTACTTCATGTACATATTTTATTTTCCTGTTTACCCCAAAAGTGGACTATTGCGATTAGATACACATCCATGAATAGAATGGAACGTTTCGCAACAAAACATGTCTCGCCCTACGACGGTGAAGGAGCCTGATACCATTTGTATTTATTAAACAATGTTTTAAAAATATTGTTTTTCTTATTTTGTGGTTTTCTATTCTTTAAATGGGAGACGTGTCCATGCAAAAAAAAATTGCCACGTAAAACTTTCTATATATATTTTAGAGCCTTATAATGTATACCAATTCCTTAAATTTCAAAGAATTTTACTGAATAGTAAGAGAAATACAAGCTATAAGGTATTAGACAATCAGATTTCAGCGCACGTGCTTTCTGTCCTTGCATGCAATTTTGATAGAAGCTGGATAGAGGAACCCATTACACCTATCTATATTCAAACTTTCACCCTGTTTTGTTAAAAACTAAAGAAGTTATAGTCATTTAAAGTTTCAGCCAATCAAATTGCAGCACATATGCATGCATATGTTTTGAAGAATTTGCATCAAAATACTGTAGAACCTTCGAATATATATCTATATCTTTAATATCAAAGTATTTTGTCAAAAACAAGGAAAATATTCAGATTTCTGTTTCACCCAATCGGAGCGAAGCACACGTGCATGCACGTAAGTTCATGCTAATTTGACCATGTCATCTTGTCTACACTACTAATATATCTTAATGTGTTGAGTTTCAAAGCATTTCATAAAAAAATATAAAAGTTACAGCTATACTAAGTATATCAGTCATTTCACTCATTGCACGCGCCCACACGTGCATACATGTGCGCGCAAAATGACCTTCGTTCCGCACATCTACACAACATACCTATTAACCCTATAAAGGTTTCAAATCAATTGGATGAGCAGTTTCCGGGAACACTTGCAGACAAAAAAGTACCCAGGAAGAAAAAAATAAGAAGAAGAAGAAACAGAGTGAAAACAATATGTTCCCAAACTTCGTTTTGGGGAACATAACTAGATACCCAGGTCTTCCGTTATACTGCTTCCTGCTGTATGTCCTTATTAACGTCGATATAAGCCTAAAACGTATGAAGAAACAAAATAACTTTAAAAATTTGCTTTTTTGCATCACTTCCTGTCACTACCGGAAGTAATGACGACACATGATTTTCAAACGATGCAAATGAATTGATGACTGACTATCACTCCTGAAAGTTCTAGACTTCAGTCATTTACTGTTACCGAGCCATTGTGAGAACAAATTCTAATTTTGAGGATAGGAAAACACGCGACCGGAAGTGAATTGTACAAAAATCTCTTACGATTCTCTAGACATTTTTAGTATCTACAGCATATATAAAACATTTTAAATATTTTATCTATAAGCGATATTTATGAGAAAGTTAAACATCGAAATAACGTAATTTATCTCTTAAAACCAGAAATTTGTTTCCGGAGGAATTGATCATATTTCAAAACAGCAAAAGGGATGCCATAATGTGATGTAAGTTTTAATTTAGAAAAGAAAAGTTAAAATTTCTGATTTTTTGATCACTTCCTGTGTCAACCGGAAGTGACGACTGACGCGTTTAACCTTAATGCATTCGTCTACTCCTCAAGATCTATTACTCATATACGTTTGGTGTCTTAATCTCGTACCATCTCGTACCATTTCAGAGATCTCACTCAGACAACTTTTCATTTTGAGGACAGGAACACACGCAACCGGAAGTGAATTTTACAAAGATATTTGAGGTTACTCTAGACATTTGCAGTCTGGATAACATATCTGTAAATTATTTCAAATACTTTATCTATAAAATATATTTATGGGAATTATGTGGTTTTTCCTCTTATAACCGGAAGTTGTCGTTTTTGTTACCGGAAGGACCAACATATTTCGAAACTGCGAAAGCGAAGCAATAATGCATTGCAATTTCTAATTAAAAAAAGAAAAGTTGATATTTTCGATTGCTTTAATCACTTCATGTGATGACCGGAAATAACGGCTGATAGATTTGAATTAATTATGCAAACGTACTTGTCATGATCCTTCATTCCTGAAAGTTTGGTGTCTTAAGCTATAACTGTTTCTGAGATCTCGGTCGGATATGATCTCTTTTGAAAAAACGGAAATCGGACATATCTGACGAACGGAAGTGACTTTTGCAAAATCCTTCAAAATGTTCCGGGTT